CCACAGAGGAAATGAACTGTCAGCCTCAACATCTCTTACCCTTGCTCCAGCAGTTGCTCCTCTGGAGATTCACTCTTTTCACACACCACATCCATGTGGCTTCATGGATGTGGTCACATGACCTATGCCTCTCCAATCAGCATCTTCTGACTTTCTCTGATGTAATGACAGTGTTGCTGAAACAGCTGGGAGAAGGATAGTTCTCCTTTCACATTGGATTTGAACCTGCAGCATTCCCCCTTGCCAGAGCTGCTGGGGATCACCACACAGGACTAGCATAAAGGAAGGCCAAAACCAGAGTCAGTGAGAAAATGGGTCCTGATAAAAATCACTTGAACCCTGAACCCACACCAGAAGCCAAATACACTCAAGCATTTTAATGACACGAGCCAATAGCTTTCCTTTCTGCTTAAGTAGATTTGAACTGGATATTCTACCACTTGCAAAAGAAAGAGTCCTATCTGATACCTCTTCTCTCTATATGCTCCCTCTCTATGCCCACTTAAACACTGATGACTCCAAAATCTTCATGTATAGCCTAGAAACTCCTTGGAGCTCCAGATTCATATCCACCCACCTTGTAGATGTTGTCTCCCATATGTCACACTCAGGCACCTCAGATATAACATGCACAAAATGGAATTCACATCTCTGCTGCTGCCATCCCACTATGCTATTCTTCATGTTCTTCTCTACCCTAGATAAAACATCACCACCCACCCAATCTCTCAGTGCCCTGATTGGCACTTTCTGACTGTGTCACCCTGGGTAGGTTAATGACCATGTCTGAGCCGTGGATTTCCATACTGACTCCGTGGCACTGAATGAGAGAATGTGTGTAAAACAGTAAGCCCTGGTTCCAGTTCCTATCACAGACATCCAGTGCATCACTCGTTCTAAGGGAAAATGTCATCCTCCCTGCCATTGACCCAGCTCAGGGCCTCATCATTTTCCCCTGGACTACTAACAGGCATTTCTCTCTTCTTCCTCTCTTCGATCTCATCGCCCAGCACCAATCTCTCCTCCCAACTGCTGCCAGACTGATTATCCCCTACACAAGCCAGACCATCTCAGGCTATTGCCTGCCACCTGCGGAATTTATTCATTTGCAGACACCCTCCACCTTGACCATCCCAAACTGTTCACAGTTCTCCACTCACTGATGTTCTCAGCTCTATGGCTCTGCACACTGTTCTCATTGCCCAGAATGCCATCTCTCCCTCCTCACCCAGCTGGAGAAGAGCGCATCCTTAAGACTTGATTAAAAAAAGAAAAAGAAGTTACTAGAAAATCAAAGAAAATATAGATTGGCTAAAGTGACAAGGAGAGAAAATGAATACAGGAAAAAAAGATATTTGAAATATTTTTAAATGAAGAAAAGCAAAGAAAGAATGGAGAAAAAAGAGAAAATTTAGAAAATTTTACTCTTGAAATAGGAAGGGACTTCTTAAGTAAGACAGAACACTCAGAAACAAAGAAAAATGATAGCGGTTTAACTTCATAAAAATTAAATACTTCTGCAAAGTTGGGGAAGAAGGCATAAAGATATTTGATTATTAATAAGAAATGGATTAAAGTACAGAATTTAGAAAGAGCCTCACAAATTGATGAAATTACAAACAATTCAGTTAAAAAATTGGCAAAGAATTTGATTGAACAATCAGAGGAAGTGTAACCAATCGATTTAGGATAAACTTGGAAGAATACATAAGCATTTAAAATGCACATAACTGGCTCCGCACGGTGGCTCAAGTGTGTAATCCCAGCACTTTGGGAGGCCAAGGTGGGCAAATGCCCTGAGGTCAGGAGTTCGAGAGCAGCCTGGCCAATATGGTGAAACCACATCTCTACTAATAATACAAAAATTAGCCAGGCATTGTGGCGCATGCCTGTAATCCCAGCTACGTAGAAGTCTGAGGTGGGAGAATCACTTAAACCCAGGAGGTGGAGGCTGCAATGAGCCGAGATCATGCCACTGCACTCCAGCCTGGGTGATGAAGCAAGACTCCATCTCAAAAAACTAAAATAAAAAATGAAATGCAAATAACTTATATAAAATGGTCTCAAAGGTCTAGGTTAAACATTCTTAATGCTCTGTGTAGAGCAGGGCATATAATATGCTATTGTATGTGTTTCTGAAAGAGAGAAAACAGAGGTTCATTTTTGGTTTGTTATTGTTGTTGTCTGTTTACTTTTTGAGATGGAGATTCACTCTTGTCGCCCAGGCTGGAGTGCAATGGTGTGATCTCAGCTCACTGCAACCTCTGCCTCCCAGGGTCAAGCGCTTCTCCTGCCTCAGCCTCCCAAGTAGCTGGGATTACAGGCATCTGCCACCACACTTGGCTAATTTTTGTACTTTTAGTAAAGACAGGGTTTCACTATGTTGGTCAGGCTGGTCTTGAACTCCTGACCTGAGGTGATCCGCCTGTCTCCGCCTCCCAAAGTGCTGGGATTCCAGGGATGAGCCACTGTGCCCAACCCAGAAGCCACATTTTATTTGCTTGTAGGTGCATTGGCTATTTCAGAAAGAATGCACAAAAACTGGTAAAATTAGTTATATCCAAAAAAGAAAAAAGAGGGCTAGGAAGGAGGAGTGGGAGGGAGATGTTGCCTTTTATAACTTTTGAATGCTATACCTTTCCAATTCGCTACTTATTCTCAAACAAATAACCTTAAATAAATACAGTAAATAATTCAGTGTCTTTTCCTACACAATCTTCCAAACCTCAATAAACAAAGAGAACTCTGATTAAATAACCACTTAAAATGTACATTTCCTTTGACCCACAAATCCCCCATCTAGGAACAATTTTACCCAGAAATATTGTATATGTACACTCACAAAGGTACACAGAAAATCTAGATTAAGTTGGAAGCCAATCTAAGAGTCCATCAATAGGGGAATGTTTAATTAATTTATAGGGAACTGATACTATAAAATATTATGTTATTATTGAAAAGAATGAAGTACAATATATCTGTTACTGAATGACTTCTAAGTCATATTGTTAAATCAAAAAAGTAAACCACAGAGCATTATTATATATGACCCCCATTTATGTTTTTTTTTTTTTTAACAGACAGGGTCTTACTATATTGTGCTCCATACTGGACTTGAACTCTTAGGCTCAAGCGGTCCTCCCACCTTGGCCTCCCAAGTAACTGGGACTGCAGGTGAGTGCCACCATGCCCAGCTTCATTTGTGTATTTTTTCAAGTATATTCAATATATTCAGCTTTGTCCTAAAGTCAGAAATGTAAATGATACTAATTTATCATGTGTTATATTATAATATCAATAAGCTATATATTCACCTATGTTTCCAGATTTGGGAGTATATTGAGCACATTGAAAACGACCTACAAAGATAGACATTTACAGTGGTTATCTCAAAGGTGGAAAGAAGGAATAGAGAAGAGGTGGGGGGAAATTTAATTTATTTTCCTATATGTCACTGTGTTTTTAAAATATTTTATAGCTCTTATTTGTGAAAAATTACTATATTCCATGAATGCTTTACATTATTACTTAAGGTCATAAGTTTATAAGGGGCAGGGCTGGGAGGGAGGCTGACGAACTTCAGATTGTGCTCTTAACACAGTGTTCTTTCACCCATTGCTTGAGTATAAAACAAACACAAACCAAAATAAAATTGAAATATACCTTCTCATGTTTTACCCCTGGCCAACTGCAAATTCCTTCCTTTATGCTCCAGCACTCCCTGAATATTTGCCATGAATCTCGTCCTCTCCCCTGCTGAGCACATAAAATGTGCAAGGAGATAGATTAAAACTAGTCATGGCTGGGCGAGGTGGCTCAAGCCTATAATCCCAGCACTTTGGGAGGCTGGCGGGGGAGGGGGGTGGATCATGAGGTCAGGAGTTCGAAACCAGCCTTGACCAACATGGTGAAACTGAGTCTCTACTAAAGACACAGAAAAATGACCTGGAGGTGGAAGCTTAGGCCTATAATCCCAGCTACTCAGGAGGCTAAGACAAGAATCGCTTGAACCTGGGAGGCAGAGGTTGTAGTGAGCCGAGATCGTGCCATTGCACTCCAGCCTGGGCGACAGAGCGGAACTTAGTCTCAGAAAAAAAAAAAAAAAAAAGGAAAAGAAAACTTGGCCGGGCACAGTAGCTCACGCCTGTAGTCCCAGCACTATAGGAGGCTGAGGCAGGCAGATCACAAGGTCAAGATATCGAGACCATCCTGGCCAACATGGTGAAACGCCGTCTCTACTAAAATTACAAAAATTAGCTGGGCGTGGTGGCGCACACCTATAGTACCAGCTACTTGGGAGGCTGAGGCAGGAGAATAGCTTGAATCTGGGAAATGGAGGTTGCGGTGAGCCAAGATCACGCCATTGTACTCCAACCTGGTGACAGAGCAAGCAGAGCAAGACTCCGTCTCAAAAACACACAAATAAAAAACAACAACAAAAAACTAGTTGTAAACCTTTTCTCTTGAGGTAGAAACAGAACCATACATGAATACTGTTTCAATGAACGAAGTATGGAGTCATCAAGTCAATCCCTCCTCCAAACTCCAGGTAGCACTGATAGCTATGATGTTTTTTGTTCTTATAGAATAAAACAGCAAGAAGACACCACTTCTCCCCTGCTGTCATGCTTTACTGCATCTCAGAACGACACTCAGTTCTTCCCAAGGTCTCACACAGAAAATGCAAACAGGCAGTCTGCAGGCCACAAGCAGCTTGTACATATAATTTGGTTAAACTGCATGCACATTTAAAAAAATGTTTTGAATCAGTTATCTTTAAAAATATATGAAGCTTTTTTTCCTTAAAAATTTACAGCTTCCCCCAAAACTCAGATCAGGCTATCATGTACTGAAGCCCTCCCGCAAGTGCAGCTGCCCCCTTAGTGGAGACAGGCTTCGCAGCACACAGCCCCACCCAGCCCTCCTGTCCACCCGCCTCCTGCACTCAGGCTTCCTGACTGGCCCTGGCTGGCAGTGCAGTTTACACCATAGAACTGTACCTACTCCTGCTGACATTTAGGTCAGTTCCAGTTCAGCCCATTCTGTCTTCCTCTGAACCCATACAGTGAGCTCACAGCCCTCAGACCATACAGTGCTTCTTCACCTCTCAGAGGACTCCCAGTGCGCCAGGCTGCAACACAAAGAAAATGGTTTGGATATTGTTGTGGCCTTGGATTTAGTTCCAAAATGCCAGGCAGGCCTCTTAATGAGGGGTCTCTATTCTCAATGTCGCGGTGGAGCTATAGGGCAGGGAGAAGCCTTGATTTAAAGGACCCACCTGTGTGCCATCAGGAAACCATGTGAAAAGCACTACCAAGGCAAAAGATCTGAGTTCAATTTGGGCTGCTTAGTTGGCCGAGAGAGTATGTCATCTCTCCTGAGCCTCAGTTTCCTCACCTATCAACTGGGCTAGTAGAGCTTCACAAGGCTGTTGTGTGAATGAAAATGTGTATATGAAAGTGCTTGTCAGCACCTGAGAAGTATAAAATAAGACAGATGTGGAGGAGGACCAGAAGAGAGGTGCTCCGGAAGAAGTGACAGAAATTGGTGCAATGCACTCCAGTTACAGTCGAAGAGCCTCTGTCTCTGTGACCTGAGGCCCCTTCCACCTCTCCTTTCTGCCCTGAGGGCCTGAAAAATGCCTCTTTTCACTTGCTTCCAGTGGCCGCAGTGAAATAGATTATAAGGGAATTCCCTGCCTATTCCCCGAAGTAGTAGCTCTCCAGAACTCATCTGGAGGTCCAGGTCACTAAGGGAGAAGAGGCCAGCCTGAATCCACGCCTGGCTCCACGGAGGAGCCACAAGGACGGACATCCTCCCCCAGCCTCTAGCGCTGAGTCAGGATCACCTGAGGTTATCAATGTCTCCATTGGACAAACAAGGAACTGAGGTTCTTTCCCTCCAAAACCACACACCTCCTCTCTGCTTCGCAGGCAGGAGGAGTAAATGCGCTGCCCTCGAAAGCACTATGCAAAAGGGATGAAAGATACAATAACGAGCAAAAATAGCCTCCAAGATGTGATCTAAAACGATGTCAATTCGCAGCTGTGTGGTTACTGGTGAGCAGACCTCCGGGAATCACAGGAGACACCCCACTTATCCAACAGACGTTCTCATCCCATATGCCTTTGTGCAAAGGTTGCAAGGGGGTTAAGCTTGGTCCAGAAGGCTCTGAGAGCTGGTCAAGTCCTCCCCTTTCCAAAAACCAGCCGAATCTCCCTCCCTCAGACCTGAGGGGCAGAGCCGCCCACTCCCCGGCGCCGAGCCACTTCTGGGCGCGCCACCCGCCGCCCGCCCCGGCTCCGGGAGACAGCGCCCTGAGTACCGGCTGCGAGAAGGTTGCTCACTGGTCCTCACGGATTCCAGCCGAGGGGCGTGACCGCTTCTCCCCACACCCTTTGCCGGGAGCTGGACGTGGAGCCTCTTGGTCTCAGGGGGCGCGGCCCGCTTCTGCCGAGTCCCGGGCACGCACCGACGCCTTCCCATCCAGCGGACTGGGTAGGGGGCTTCGGGCGGCGCCAGAGAAACGGGGCGGCTGCACCCAGTGGAATGGGGTGGGCCTCTAAGAAGCTCCAGGCCGCAGCGGAGGAGCGCGCCCCCAACATCTCCCCACAAAGAGCTCCAGCTCTCCAAAGCAAGGCGCAGTGCGGCCGTAGGACAGCCCGGATCTCGGAGCGGGGCGCGGGGAGAAGAGGAGCGCCATGGGAGCGGGGACCCTTCCCGGCCCGCTCCCCGCGCCCTCCAGCCCCGCACAGTGACCTTAGCCCGGCTCCATCCCGACCGCCCTCTCTGCCCGGGCCCGCGCCCGCGCTCCACGCCGGGTGCTCACCGAGGAGCCGCCGCCGCGGCAGCTCAGGGCCCAGCCCTGCCGCCTCCCCGCCTCGGCCACCGCCGCCGCCGCTTCCTTCCTCCCGGCCGCGCTCGCAGACTGGAGGTTTCGGGTTTCCGCCCGCCGAGCCCCGCTTCGCTCCTCCCGCGGGCCAGCCACCAGCACGCGGACCCGGGCGGGGGCAGGCCAAGTAACTTTGCGGCGCCCGAGCCCCGCCTCCCCCGCGCCCGGCCGGGCCCCTCCGGCCCCCGAGCCCCGTGCCGCCTCCCGGCTCCCCGCACCGCCCCGCCTGGCTCCCGGCGCCCCTCCCCGCCCTCGCCCCTTCCTTCGTGTCCGCCCGCCCTCCCGGCAGCTTCTTTCCCATTTTTTCCCACGAACCCCCTCGGCTGCGGCTCTTTGTCTCGCCCTTACCCTCTCGGCTCGCTCCACTTTTCTCCTGAGAACATTTGTGGTCCCTCACTCAGGCCTTCCCAGTTCCCGTTCCTCCGTCCCAGTTCCAGCCGCTGGGACGTCCCCTTTTCCATGTCTCTCTCCATCACAGACACTTACAGATTCTTCCCGCAGGCTCCGCGCCGTCCCGTTCTCCTCCAGCCCCGCCGGGGACGATCCTGGCACCGCCTTTGCCGCTCACCTTTCATTCATCCAGCCGACCCGCGACAGCGTCCATCAGCCTCCGGCCAGGCTCTGTCCCCGGCTCTGCGAATACCACGGGGACCCCGCCCCAAAGGCAGCCCCGGGAAGTGGGGAGTGGACGTAAACCGGGCTCCACGAGGCTGCCCTGCACTCCCTTGGAACCAAGAGTCCAGGCAGCAGTCACCGCAAAACAAAGACCGGGCGCTGTCAGCTCGGGGAACGGAACAGTTCCTTCTCGGAATGTTTGTTTTCCCTTCCTCACTCCCCACTTTCCCTGCCTGTCTCCAGCCTCCTACGTTTTCTATGCAGCAGTCTTAATAAGGGGATGGAAAGTTGAAGCAAACAGTAGAACTGCTTAAAAAGGAAAGAAGGAAGTAGACAAACAGGGCAGCAAAATAATCAGGTAAGAAGTTGTAAAACCCAGTTCACTAAACTCCAGAAAAAAAAAAAAAAAAAAAAAAAAAAAACAGATGCTGGCTTAGAGTAGGATTCACATTTCTCTGAAATCCATCTGCTCTGATAAATACATTAATTATTCCCTTGTCTACGGATTGAACCGTGGGAGATGCTTCCTTATTATTAATATTATTAGGCCACTGAGGCACCATTCAGAACAGTAATTTACTGTCTGGCACCTGCTAAACACCCACATTGCTCTAGGGACAAATGGGATCATGTGGAGAAAAATGTAAATGGATGCCTTAATATTCCTTTGGGATAGATGCTTTATTTGGTCAAAAACTGGAAGCTACTGCTCCACTTAGAGTCTGGGTCACCCAGCAAGCCAGACACTTGAAGGAGCTTAAAGCATTCTGTTCTTAAGAGTATTTTAGACACTTATTTTGAAATCCCTGGTTATTTATTTAATTTACACTGACTCAGATGCCGGCTGAGCTCTATGAGCCTAAGGGAGTTAGTTAACCTTCCTGAGTCTCAGGTTATTCATATATAAAATGGGGATACTCATAGCTTCCTATCTGTAGAGTCAAAAAGGTTAAATGAGGTCATGTAAGTAAATCATCCAGTGTCATAGAATCTGAGAACTAAGCCCTTTTGAAAATTGGTATTCATGAAAGGTCTGAAAATATATGCCACAGACTGGCATTGTGAGAATAACAATAAAAAATAAACAGTTACAGCTGTTTTGGCTCCATAACCATCCATGATGCAAAAGATGTCCTTCGTACTGAGCAACCTTTTACCATACTTACTCTATTTCATTTTGAACTCTTCAATAGAAAGCATTTTTTTCTCTTGCTGTTCATTATCAAATACATTATTTATCACAAAGATTTTTTTTTTTTCTGAGCTCATAAGCTCAGAACTTACTGTGCATTCAGGAATAGAAACTGCTGCCAACAAATGCATTTTCAATTGCTCTCTTAAGGTTTTTTTTTCCTTCTGGAGCTAATATTGAGCTATGAGCTCTATACTTTTCTAAGTCTGAAACCAAACTATTATATATACGTGCAGAGGGTTTTTTGTTTTGTTGTACAATAATTTGTCTAGGAATGCAAGTACTAAGTAAATTGAGGGAAGATTGCTCTTTGAGTTACTCAAACCTCACCCACAGTTATTCAGCATTTTGGAAATCACCTCACTATTAACAATGCCACTTGTGGTATCAGATTTACTAGTAGAGATTAGGTAATTTGGTCGACGTTTATGCATCTATGTCACATTCACAGTGATCCTGTCTATAACTTCAAGTGTCTGGCCACTTCCTGATGTCATCCACTGGGGCTGACATATTGAAATGAGCATCATTGGGCTGGGCGATGGTTCACTCCTATAATCCCAGCACTTTGGAAGGCTGAGGTGGGTGGATCACTTGAGGTCAGGAGTTCGAGACCAGCCCTGGCCAACATGGCGAAACCCCGTCTCTACTAAAAATATAAAAATTAGCTGGACTACACAATTGTAGTCCCAGCTACATGGGAATCTGAGGCATGAGAATCGCATTTACCTGGGAGGTGGAGATTGCAGTGAGCTGAGATCACACCACTGCCTAGTGCTACACATCTCTTCCACTTGGCTTCTCTTGAATTGTATCCTTTGTAATAAACCAATAATAGTAAGTTAAGTGCTTTTCTGAGTTCTGTGGACTGTTACAGCAAATTATTGGCCATGGGAACTCCTGATTTGAAGCCAAGCCAGTCAGAAGTACTGGAGGCCCCGGACTTCATTTGGTGTCTGAAGTAGGGACAGTGTGTGGGACTGAGCCCTTAACCTGTGGAGTCTGCACTAACTCAGGGAGTTAGTGTCGGAATTGAATTGAATTGTTGGATGCCCAGTTGGTGTCAGAGAATTGATTGGTGTTGGAAAAAATTTCACGTATTTTGTATCAGAGGAAAAAATATCCTCAAGTACACTTATATTTTGTTCTATAAAAAAAATCCTCGGGCCAGGCACGGTGGCTCAAGCCTGTAATCCCAGCGCTTTGGGAGGCCGAGGAGGGTGGATCACTAGGCCAAGAGATCAAGACCATCCTGGTCAACATGGTGAAACCCTGTCTCTACTAAAAATACAAAAAAAAAAAAAATAGCTAGGCATGGTGGCGCGTGCCTGTAATCCCAGCTACTCAGGAGGCTGAGGCAGAAGAATTGCTTGAACCCAGGAGGCGGAGGTTGCGGTGAGCCAAGATCGCCCCATTGCACTCCAGCCTGGGTAACAAGAGCAAAAACTCCGTCTCAAAAAAAAAAAAAAAAAAAAATCCTCAAGTACACATTTATCTTTTGTGGCCAAGAGAACACAACGTTATATATTTGGGATAAATTTGTAATTACAGAAGATTAAAAACGCCCAAATGTCTGTCAATAGAGAATTAGAGGAATAAGTTAGGATCCAGTGCTACAAAGGAATGAAGAAAATCTCTATACACCAAAACGTAGTGGCCTCAAAGATGTAATGTTAAGTGAAAAAAAGTAAGGTGCAGAAGTATTTGTTATATGGTTTTTTTTTTTTAGACACGGTCTCACTTTATTGACGAGACTGGAGTGCAGTGAAATGGCATGATCTTGGCTCACTGCCACCTCCACCTCCCAGGCTTAAGTGATTCTCCTGCCTCAGCCACCCAAGTTGTTGGGATTACAGGTGCGCCCCACTACCACCTGGCTAATTTTTGTATTTTTAATAGAAACGGGATTTCACCATGTTGGCCAGGCTAGCCTTGAACTCCTGACCTCAAGTGATCCACCCTCCTTGGCCTGCCAGAGTGCTGGGATTACAGGCGTGAGCCACCGCACTCAGCCTGTGTTATCTTTTATGTGAGAAAAGGAAAGAATATATAGGTGTTTGCTTATACTTAAAAGTGGAAAAACAAACCAAAAACAATAAAAAGAAGGTTTCCAATCAGAGAAAGAAACAAACAGGTAGAAGGAATGAAAAATAAAGTGAGGTTTCTAGGAAGGTTTCTTGCTGTACAATTCTGACTTTGAAACTTAAGTGTATTTTACAAAATTGAGAAAAGTTAACTCAAAAAAGAAAAAAAAACTCCAAAACCTGAAGAAAAACTAGGATGAATATCAAGTTGGTGGCATAACTTTTATTACTTCTCTATCACTGCATCATGATTACCACGAATTTGGCGGCTTAAAACACTGTTATGTTGCTTGAACTCCGGGCTTCAAGCAATCTTCCCACCTCAGCCTCTCGAGATGCCGGGATTACAAGCGTGAGCCACCACACCTGGCAAAACACTCATTTTTTTTAAATCTCAGTTTAGAGAGAAGTCCACGCAGGCTCAGTGGGTTTTCTGCTCATGGCCTCACAATGCCAAAGTCAAGGTGTTGGCTAAGCTCAGCTCTTACATGGAGGCTCCTAGGGGGACTCTGCTTCCAAGCTTGTTCAGGCTGCCAGCAGAATTCAGTTCCTTGCCGCTGTGCGACAGAAGCCTCCGTTTCTTTGCAGGCTGGCAGCGGGGCCACACTCTGCTCTCAGAGGCTGCCTGCAGTTCTTCCTCACTTGGCCTCCTTATCTTCAAAGTCAGCAAAGGCATGTCAAATCCTTCTTATACTCTGATCTCTGTGGCTTCCCCTTAATTCCTCTTTCAGCCAGAGAGAGCTCTTTGCTTTTAAAGACTCATGTGATAGGTCAGGTCTGCCTAAATAATATCCCTGTCCTAAGGCCAACTGGGTCAAATAACATAATCCTAGGAGTGATATCTCATTTTGTTCAAAGGTCCTGGGGATTAGGAAAGGACATCTTTGTCAAGCTATGTTCCAATTCTGCCACAACAACATAAAGAATTGCAGGACCAGGCACAGTGGCTCATGCCTTAATCCCAGCACTCTGGGAGGCTGAGGTGGAAGGATCATTTGAGCCCGGGAGTTCAAGACCAGCCTAGGCAAAATAGCAAGACCTTGTCTCTAAAGAAAAAGAAAAAATCATTTTTAAAGTTTTCAAAAAACAAGTTTTCAGGCCGGGCACGGTGGCTTATGCCTATAATCCCAGCACTTTGGGAAGCCAAGGCAGGCAGATCACCTGAGGTCAGGAGTTCGAGACTAGCCCAGCCTGACCAACATGGAGAAAACCCATCTCCACTAACAACAACAACAACGAAAATACAAAAATTAGCTGGGCATGGTGGCACATGCCTCTAGTCACAGCTACTTGGGAGGCTGAGGTAGGAGAATCGCTTGAACCCTGGAGGCGGAGGTTACAGTTAACTGAGATTGCACCACTGCATTCTGGTCTGGGCAACAGAGTGAGACTTTGTCTCAAAAAGAAAGAAAGAAAGAAAATATGTATTTTTCAAGTGAGTTTAGAATATAATATTTTGTTGGCACTTTCCTAGTGAGATATGTTCTTAGGACAAAAAGAAAAAAAGTCTGAGTCTCGTTCAGTTCTCTTATGTCAGTGGTGCTTTGGTATTGTTTGAAACAATGTAAAGATATACAGAAAAAAGCAAATAAGTAATTACATTTATGTCATTAGACCTGTGATTTTTAGCAAGGAAATAAGGGAGATCAAATATAAAAGGGAAGAGGTAAGTAAAAACCTATCTGCTAATAGTAATTTGCATTTGCCAACCCTATCCATTCAAAAGGCAAGAAGAAATGAGAACGCAGAAGGAGTGAGCACTCCTGTAGCAATGAACACTGCTAGCAACCGGATGTAGTCTCAAAATGCCACTTCTCATTAAAAGGAACTCAGGCTCCTTACAGTTATTCCAGTTCTGGATGTTATACGCTTAA